GAATTCAGACAAAACATACAGACTTTCTACAATCACTTTTTGTATAAAGTGGAGTTTTACAAAAGAAAAAAACATTTTTAACCCTCACTGAGCAGGATCAACTGTAGTTTAAGCAAGGTCAGTTTTATTAAAAAAATTGAAAATGAAATAATGTTTTTTTTTTTTAAGGTTGTTTTTTTTGAGGGTTTTTATTTAGGTATAGTTTGGGGGAAAACAAAAAAAAAAACATTGTCCAGCAGCTTTTTTTGATTGACGTTGAGCACAACTGGGCAAAACTAGAGGCAGCCATCTTGTAGCCTGAGCCGCGCTGCATCCTGCCCCCCTGACGGTGTGGCACACTAGTTGATCACAAATGGGTAAATCTAAAAAGCAGCCATTTTGTAGCCTGGGCAACAGTTCAACCTATCAGTTGGCTAGCAATTGTTGACATCTCTGTGGCCTTGACATGTTCATTTCTGGTGAATTGATAGGCTTAGGTGCTCGGTATAGCCAATCAGGCGCAAAATGGCAGATTCAGCCGTGTCTAGCTGAGGGGACATTTTTACGTATTCCCCTTTTTAACCCTACCACAGCGTCTATGCGTTGGCTAAAAAAAAAAAATGTGTAGTTGATATATAGGAGATATTTTTATGGGATTTCTTTAGGATTAACTTTTTTGTTTTGTTTGCTTTTCCACTGGGGTTGGGGGTTTACATTTTGGAACATGGCATATTTGTATATAAGATTAAGGCAAATTTTTGTACTGCTGTTTTTGTTATACATCCCCCTTGTGTTTTTACCTTTCGGGGCATCCAAATAAAGATGAAAGTTTCAGTTCAAGAAGGAGTATTTTTTACTCGTGTTTTTAAGTTGGCTATAAATTCCTACCGCACGTTTTTCTCTGTCAAGCAATCAGAACGTTTTCGTTTCCCAGGTAGCACAAACGGGTTCCTGGAATTGTTTAAAGAGAAAAAGAATCATTCCCGGGCTCTTGTTCTCGGCAGAAGTGCTCAGTCAACCAGAACTTTTCCAGGAGACCAGAATCCATAGCGATTAGTTCTTTTACAAGAATCCCGTCACCCCCCACCCTGCTGCAGGCGTGCAGTAACTATGCATAACCGGCAAGATTATTCAGTCAATGACCTCATCTCATTTCGGAGCACCGTGGGATTTGGGGGGTAAAATGGCAGAAGCAGCTGTAGGTTTGTTAACTTGATTCCCATTCGCAGTAGCTGTGCTTTTCGAATGGAGCTTTGCTGCTAGAATTGATAACATTACCAATTGGTAAAGAATAAACGTAATGTAATCTAATCAGTGGTACAATAGTTTTCCCTCTTAGTGTAAAAAGTAAGGGCACCCCATAGATAAGTCAGCCAATCTGACCTCTAATGAACCCTTGAACATGTTAGGTGCATCAAGAGACAATGTCACATTGCCCATTCAGGAGAAAGTATTTGTCTGGCCCCTAGCATTCCACCAAGGTATGTATGGATCCACGGTCCCATGTTTCTCATACATATTCGCTTGCATCATGCATATTGATGCCAAGTGCAGCCATTGTCCTCCAGCCATGAGGTAAGTGAGGGACGGATGTCAGCAAGTGTTATGATCAGAGCTGGTT